TTTAGTATTTAATATTTCATTGCACTATGATGTATCATCATCCAGGAGAGTGGCATGAGATAAATCAGAAAACACAACAGCCAAAAACCCACTCTTGTAATTTAATACCTCAAGTGCTGACCTTGCATAAGATGTTTGCTCTGTATCCAAGGGAGGAAGAACATAATCTTTTGTTGCATTTCACTTCATATTCTCTTTGATAACTCCAAGCGTCCTAGGACATGAAATCCTGATTGCAGATGCAACTTGCTGTAGTGTGAAACCAAATAAATTCTTGTTTTGGGTCCTGATCTGCACAAGTGGGGTCACTCTTTTGACTAAATGTGAGCTATTGGATTTGACCGCTTATATTAATAAATAAGAAGGTTAAGGAGACAAGTCTAATTGTTGTCTTCCAATATAATAAACAGGGCAGGAGGGCAAAGAGAGAGAGATTGTACTTATGGCCTGCAGAGGAAAAGAATACTGAAGACTTTAAAAACAAACAAACAAGACAAAGTTGTTTGCATGATTTCACAGCATGTGGAGCACTGGGGGCTTTTCCTGAATCTATAATAAAAGGTGACAGCAGCCACAGAAATTGCAGCGGAGACAGGAAGCCCTGTCAAATCTCTGCTGTGTGAATGCGATCATTCGCTGAAGCTTTTAGCAGGGATTGAAGCAGAGAAAGCGATGGCCTCTATTACAAAACAACAGAGGCACCCACTTTTTTTTAAGAGTCAGGTGCAGTAAAGGTAAATTTTGAAGTGTCATAAAGGCACTGCCAATTTCTGCCTCTGTCCTATATGGCCCGCCCAAAATGGGGGAGAAGCGAGCGCTAGTGAAAAAAAAAAAGAGAAGGTAGACAACTTTCATCTCCTCTCCATTTTGAGAGCAGAAGTCTTGCTATACTTGTGCTCACTTCAGAAAGCGTGATTCCCCCAGCCCTGTGCTGCTGCTGGGATGCCGGCAGGGGATGGGAGTGAAGCCAACAGCACCTCTCTGTGCCGACGTGTGGGGTGGAAATAGAGAGATGGCTGTAGCCAGCAGCCGGATGGTGGTCGAGGGGTCTGTGGGTTTTCTGCAAGGGCTAGCCACACATCTGCACAGCTCCTGTGCCCAGTCCCAAAGCCACTACCTTGTGCCCCATCCCACTCCTTTGTGCTGAAGCCAAGGCTATGACTTTCTTGAAGGTAGACCAGAATTTTGACTTAAAAACCCACTAAAATTGGTTTTCACATACACAGTTTTTCCAAATACTACTCAGCATTGGAAGAAAATACAAAGTCTTTTCATGCAGGGCAGTTCCCAATGTCTTCTTTAATTTTCCTATTTACAAATGGGAGTGAGAGGCAGAGCCTTGGTTTTAGGTTCATTTATCAACCATTTTTTATCACAAGTTTTTTTTTGATTTTTAGCTTAAATGAAGATTTTTAGAAACAAATCACAACCCAAGCAACTAGGGACTGAACTCTAGCTGGTGGGAGGAGAACACAAGAGGAATAGAAAGGAGGCCCATTGTACCTCCAGCACCATCGTAACTCCAGCACTAGTTTTTCAGGACATCAGTGCAGAGCAGTGGCTAGAGCTAAGCTGCACTGGCAGGTATGCCTTTCCTTGTTAGCTTTTCTTTCCCTGCTGGGAGCTCTACATGTCACCAGGGTTTAGTTCCAGGTGGCTGTGCTGCTTGGGGAGCAAGCCAGGAGCCTCCGCCAAACCGAAAGGACTAGGAATTGCATCCGTGATGCGATGCACCATGCGATGCTTTTGACAGGCCCACAGAGTCACAAATGCAAGCTTGAAAAGATTCTTTGTGGCCTTTAGTATGACTTCAGCAGCTTGTGCATTGGCCAGACTGTATCCTGTGACTCACCGATACTGGCATTTAAAAGCCAAGCTAAAACACGAAAGACTTTGGGCTGACAATCAGACTACTCCCTACCTCAAGCACAGTGGGAAAGCTGCATCAGTAGAAGATGTAACCACTCAGTGAAAGGGTAATTGCTCTCCAGGCAGCTTAGCAGGCCTGGGTCCATGAAGGGTAGCTTTAAAGGAGAATTTGCACAGAGAAAGCATGCAGGCCGTTTCATAGGAGTGCCTTTTTAGGCAAGGAAGCCAAGGTAAGAGAAGTCAAGTTCTAATTATTTGTCACAGTTCAGTATGCTCTAAATATCAACTCTGAGAATGTTGGTGTACCACTGACTGCTGAGTTAAATATCTGGAGTATTTATTTTTAATTTTTTGAGTCAATTAAGTATAAAAAAAAGTATTTCAAAGCTCTGGTTCAGCAAAAGACTTCAGCAAACATTTACAGTGTAGTTCATAGACAAAAAAGGGAGACTGAATTTCATTTTCAGTTTACTGAGCTCCTTTTGGATGTTATTATGCTTGTTTAAATTAATCCAACTACTTGCTAGATACGTGGGATTATTTTTAATTTTCTTTTTCTAGAATCCAATCTGATGTGCTGGGCCAACGCACATCATATACTGATGACTTATGGGGAACAAAAGTATTTCCTAAGATTGATGCAGGGTAATTAGTACCACCTCTCTGCTTTCAGTACCATGACTCACAATAATATATAACATAATTAACTGTAGTATTGTAACATATATAAAAATAAAAAACAAAGGAGGCTGTTCTGACACCACTCTGATCACATAGAATAATTTATTTTTGATGAAATACTTATTTAAATAAAACACAAAAAACCCGTAAGAAAATTAAAAAATGAACACTCTTCCAAATACATCTCTCCCAATTACAGGGTGATTCAAATCCTGTGTAATGGCTTCAGATCACCTCCACTACAAATTAAAGGTACAATATTCTTTGTGTAAGATTCTAGGGCAAAATTCATTAAAGATAAGTAATATGGTAGGATGAATAGCTCTGCTTCCCCAAACCTCCAAATCCATAACCCAAACTACTACTTTTGACCTCCCCTTTCACTGCTCCATGCTGTTTTACAGAAATGTAGCATACAATAAATCAGAAATTTTTCAATGAAATTATCACTTACTGTTTGTTGTGCTGCCACTTTTATCTGCTGCTATAGTGGTCACTTTTACTGGTGGTTGTGTTGCTGCACCTTGTGTTATTTGTTGTGTAGTATTAGGTGAAGAAGGCATGGAGTCTAATAAAGGAATGACATTCACATTAATTCCTCAATTTTGTATACACACATATACACACACACAAAACACACCTATTGCCCTGCTTGCAGCCAAGTTTTAAATTGTCGAAAGAATATTTCATTTAAATTAAAGATCAACAGGGACAGGGCTCCCTTCACTGCAAAGCCACTCCCTGACCCATAGGTGGGTCATCCCACTGATAACAAGCCCGTGATAATGCAGTTACAAGGCCTGGCTTGGCGCTGCCTTGAGACTGACAAGAAGAAAGCTCCTGCACACACCTGCAAGATTTCACCAGAGTTCATTATCTATAAAATAAATTCCCAAGCCAAGAGGCACTGCTGCTTAATTTCCTGAACGACCACTGGGGCGGCATAGAATCATAGCATTGTTTTGGTTGGAAAAGACCTTTAAGATCATCAAGTCCAACCATTAACCTAGCACTGCCCAGTCCACCACTAAACCGTGTCCCTAAGCACCACATCTAAACATCTTCTAAATACCTCCAGGAATGGTGACTCAACCACTTCCCTGGGCAGCCTCTTCCTGTGCTTGACACCCATTTCAGTGACGCAATTTTCCCTCATATCCAATCTAAACCTCCCCCAGCACAACTTGAGCCCATTGCCTCTTGTCCTATCACTTGTTACTTGGGAGCACGGACCAACACCCACCTGGCTACAACCTCCTTTCAGGGAGCTGTAGAGAGCGATAAGGTCTCCCCTCAGCCTTCTTTTCTCCAGGCTAAACAACCCCAGTTCCCTTGGCCACTCCTCATCAGACTTGTGCTCTAGACCCTTCACCAGCTTCGCTGCCCTTCTTTGGACAGGCTCCAGCACCTCAATGTCTTTCTTGTAGCGAGGGGCCCAAAACTGAACACAGGACTCAAGGTGCGGCCTCACCAGTGCCCAGTACAGACAATCACTTCCCTACTCCTGCTGGCCACGCTATTTCTGAACTCAAAGAAACTTTCACTTACTGCTTGGGATGGATTCATTTGTAGCGTTCACCACAGTTGTTGTCAGCACTGAAGTTTGCAATATTGTTGCTTGTGAAGTTGATGTCTTCACAGCTTCTGTTACTGCAAAAAAGGCATTTGCATCTTTATTGATTTATTTTATCATGCATAAATAAACATTACATGCCTCTAGCTGCCTTCTCTCACCAAGCCAGTGAACTTCTGTTTAAAGTCTGGCCCTTATAGAGCTTTCTTACCCACATATTTTTAAAGTGGATTCAAAGTCCATGTGGTTGGTATCAAAGGGAAGGTTTGACCTGTGGACAATCCACAAGTTGCCCACTGAGAGTTAGCAGCTGTACCTTCCCTAAGGAGGAGGCGTATGCTCTTTGGGAGTTAAACAGAGGTGCTTGGCATGACTGCCAAGGGAGTAGGTGAGGGGAAAGGAGCCTGGCGTGGATGGATGGGTTCACTGTGCTGCTAGACTGGACTGCTGACTAGCACTTGGCTGCACACCTGTTTTATAGGAGGAGGGATGTAAACTTCCCAGAAAGAAGTGCTAGTGATGCACAGGAACACAGCTTATATGTTACAGAACTGAAGGGGAAAAGACTCTAATAGTCTTTGTGCAATTTTTTCCTCTTCTCTCAGCTGTCCACCTCAAGCCACAGTTGAGTCTTCTTCTCTGACTAACTTCCCCAGAGCCTCTTCCTCTGCAGCCAGAGCTCTGGGGAAAAAAAGCACCCAGCAGGTCTTCCTCTGAGGTATGCAGCAAAGCTTAGGACATCTTGGATGAGTAAGTGATAGTCCCCAGGGTGAACATGGTGCCCTTTGTAAGGTGGCTCCTGGTAGTTCTCCAGAGGTGTAAGATTTGGAGGCTGAGGGGAGGAGAAAGGGCTGCCTCAGGCAGAAGGGATCACCTCCAGCTGGAGCAGAGTTGCCCAAACATCACTAAGGCAATAGGAAGGTTTAAATCAGTGTGTCTTGCTGCGCATGGATGGCATACTGCAGGTGCTATGCGCCCCTGGCACATGTTCAGGGAACAGACTGGCCAAATTGCTGCTGAGGGATCTGGGCTAAAAACCTTGTAACTAATAACTTTAAGAGACCAGTTTTCAATTCTGTAATCTAATACAAACAGAAAGTGCTACTGTCAGCTACTGAGGCTCATTTCAAGCCCTGACAACAACCCAACACGTGCCATACTACCTCTTCTAGCACTTTTCATGGATGGGAAACATGATAGAATAGGAACAAATCATGACAGGACATGTCATTTTCCCTCATATGACTTGAGTACTTCCAAATGCAATGCTCACACCCTAACTTTTAAAATATAACTTATAGTCTCTTCCTCAACTCTCAGTTTGCTGGCTGTTCACCTTGAATAGCAGTGCCTCAAAGGAATGGACCTGCTTGGGAGCTTGCTCCACACCCACAAGGTGCTTTAATCTCATAGTGGGCTTCTATTGCTTTTCTCATAGGCGTAAATAACAATACTGCTTCTCCTTCTGTGACAAAAAGCTGCAAGAGAAATTTCAGTGAAACATTTGAAGAGCTCATTCACTGTGAGGTGTTCAGTCTTTATTAAATGTCTTTGAAACAGACATGAACATCAAGGTTTTTGAAACGTAAAAGAACTGCAACACAATTTGGAAGGGACTAATTCTGCTGCTGCTATAAACATAACATAGGCATGCTTCACCTGGCTGCATCTTATTCACTGCCATTACTAGCACTTCAAATGTATACATCATTATCATCTCAGTGCTTTCAGCTCCAAAACAGACTCATTAGTATCTCTAGTTATCAAAAAATATAATACTGTGTCCAAGTTTTCTTCTCTCATCACTTATTAAATGCAAACAGTTTTGCCATTCAAACTAATACAGGAGTTGATATTTAGCTCACATGAATGAAATATGGTCAATATTGATTTTTCATAACTACAAAGCTACAAAATAAAGAGAACTGAATGTGTCAGTTGAAGATGTAAACCAGAATCACAGACTTTTAGCATATGAAGCAGATTATTTTCTGTGTTAAGTCTTCATAGTTTTAGGACTTTAAGTTTGATCTAGTAAAAACAATATCACAAACAAGAGGGAGAGAGAATGTAGCTTTTGAAACTGAGGGCACTGCTGCCACCCTCTTACCCTCAGAAGTGAATCTTGCCATCAGTAATTTCAAGAAGTTACCAGTAGCATTTTTGCAAATGACAACTTTATGCACATGTAGTATTTCCTATTAACTGAGGCCCAACATTAGCATATGTTGCGTAATTCTTTACTCTTAACGTCCATGTCCTCCTCCATCACTCTACATCCATCAAATCAGCTACTCCCTGCTGTCCAGTCCCTTAACTGATGCTGTTTCCCAAATTATTCTCAATCTGGTGATTTCTTGAACTATAAGTCTTAGCTAATTCTTTAATACCTGACCACACTTAAACTACTCCTTGAGAGCAGAGGAACTCACAGAATTTCAGCCTTTTTCACCTGAAACAAAAAATGCAGCCTGCTCAAGTTAACCCTCTCTTTACTAAGATCCTTCAATCCTTTCTTCTCAACAGACTTTTATAAGAGGCCCAGGGAAATACATTGTTCCACAATCGCCTTACATGAAATAATTCACCTAAATTCTGCCAGAAGTTTGAAAAGCTGAAAGCTAAAAAGGCAATGGGAGCTTCAGAATACCAGATAGCAGTGAATTTGAACTCTTACCAGATTTTAATGTTGATGTAGAAACAGATGTACTGACAGCACCTGGAGCATTGTCTTCTGAAATAAACACAGAAAGAATCATATTACTTCAGCCACCTTCCAGATTTATTTAGCACTACATAGGCACATAAGGCAGTGAGCAGCAAGGACCTTCCTGGAAAGTCAAGTTCAGAAGCCTATTATAGCAGAAGCAACCAAATCATACAACTGTTAGTAACCTTTTGAATCTGTATCCTAAATCTCTTAACTTTGCTACTGTGATGGGGAGCATCTGCTATGGTCTCCTGTCTTGGACTGCGGGTTGTTTTCCAGCAGGTATTAGTGTGTCTAAGCCTAATTTGGAAAAAAAACAAACCAAAAAACAAATCCTGAAGCAATTAAAGGTTTTTTGCTAGCTCTTCCTCTCCTTGAGTACAACCACAGTTGCTCTGGGTCCTCAAGGTGGAGGATTAACTAAAATAACTGGCTGCAGGAGTAAGCAGTCTGACTTGGAGGAACAAAATTGTACTAGCTCCTTGGCTAGTACAAATACTTCAGGAGGGGTTTTCAGCATCACCCTGATCCCTATATGTGAGGGGAAGAAGAGAATTCACAGAACATGGCTTGGGAAGCACCAAGTTGAGTAACGATTGACTTTCCCCATTCCCCTCAAGGCAATGCTCCACTCGTTGGGAGTTTATTGCAGTAAATGATGCCAGTCTTAAAAATCGTAGATCAAGTTAGTAGGTAAAAGTCTCCAATATTATAAAACAAACTGGCCAAAACCATCCCCACCAAACCAAAAGCAAAATAATTTCTATATCTTCTGGCAGTGCTGAAAAGATGTAACAGCATAACTCAACTAGAATTTTGGCTTCAAATAAGATTTTCAATCTTATTTCTTGGGTGTCCATATTTTTCTACTAGAAGTAGTTAAGGGGGAAAAGAAGTTAAGGGGGTGATGAAGGGGGTGAAAAAACTACATTGAGTCAGAAACAGTGGCATTTCACAACCATTTTACACTGCTGTGAGACAAGGATGGGTACATTTGGGGAGGAAGAGATCAGCTATGCGACTGAATGGGAGAGCAAAATGGCACAGACTAATCCCCCAGTGCTTTCAGGTTTGGAGCGTGACATCCTGTCACGCTGCATTAGCATGCTGTAACATAGACATCGCAAAACTGAGTCAGGACAGCATGTCACTATTCTTGTGTGACTCCATTCATGGTAATATCTGCTGGCATTCTCTCTTTTTTTGGCTACAGGGCAGAACAGTCAGCTTTGTTCCCTTTGCTCAGTGTGCTGTGTGCCGATTAATGTTTCACGAGCACTACTCGAGGCCTGCGAGAGTCACAGATCTAACCTGGAAAAAAACCAAACCCAAAACATAATACAATTGCAGGAGCTCTGCGGGCACATATTAAGGCCTGGTCAGATGAGCCCTTACAACTCCTCTTCAAGTAGTGTAAGGTGTTAGCGGCCCTCTCGGCACCTGCGCATTTCTAATGGACCTCAGGCAGGTTGTTGCCCCTTCCCAGTGAGCCCCATTCTCTTGGGCATCTCTTCTAGGTATGCTGCTGCCTTCGCAGTGCCTCCTCACAGCACGTGCTGGCCCAGTTTGATATGGGTATATCCAGCATCAAATTAAACCAGTTCCCTAAGGGTCTGCTGCTGCCTCAGCCCTACTCCCCAGGACACATGAATACAGTCAGGTTATGCACAGCCCTTTGCACAGTGCATTTAAAATACTGGTTTTCCTGCCATTTAGTTACTCTGTCAGAATACCACTTCATAACCCACAGTTGAAATACTTTGCTTTTTGGTCTATTTGGATAAAATTTGCTTTCAATCTTGTTTCCCTAAACAACAAGCATCTTACCGTCTCTTACATTCTCATTATGAGCTGCTGACAACGCTCCTGTAAATCCCCACACCACGAGGCCACAGCACTAAAACAGAATGTTTTTTCAACAGTGCCTACATTTCATATGGTTCGTTATAACATCTCTCAGTAACTACCATGTCTGTAACACCAGCTAAATACACTAGCTGGCTAAGTAGCTCATTCCCCAAGTCTTCCCTTAACTCAGCATGACTTTGTGGAAAGCCCATTGTGATACTTAGATTATTCATCCTTTAAAGATGTTCCATTTAATAATCATGTTGATAGGCCAAGATTTCCTCAAAACGAAAAATAAAATAAAATTGAGAACTGAAGTCACAGTTTTGTTACAAATCACAATTTTCTGGTTTTATCACAGGCTAGAGATAAACTAAGGTAAATTGGATTAGCAGAGTAGGATAAAGTGGAGGTTTAGGAATTAATTGTTCTCTTAAAATGGTGGATAATTAAGTATAATTTAAAAACAAGTTGAAACCAATGTACAAAAATGCTTAAAACTAGCCACGATTTTTTTTG